GACCTATAATTACTTTTGAAAGTTTTCGCCCTCTAGTGCTCCCGTTGAATGCAAACGTTAAAGATGGTCGTTTATTCACAAATAACCCTCTCTGTAAAATCCTAAATTGTAGGATAGTTTGGCCATTAAAATGCTTTTTGATTCGATTTCTAGCGAGACGTGTATATTGTACTTTTAGAATCCACGTCCAGTCGATATGTAAGATCTATAGTTTGATAGATATTACGAAGATGATTTGAGGTTTCGACAGGAGAACGTGTATATGCGGTAGCTTCCATGTAAAGTTACGGGTTGAAAACAGTATTTCCGGTCTCGACTAGGGATGCATATCGTTGACTTTTTTACGATACCGATACCGATACCGATACCACTGAACGATACCGATACTCAACCGATACATATCGTGATACTTTCATGTTGCATAAGGGAAACATTTTATCATCCCGCAATTACTCCCATGAAGCGCTTTATTATATAGTTAACATGTCAAATGAATATTAAATTCAATTGTGGGACTTGGATCTTTTAGTACTGAACAAACAATGAAAAACACATTATCTATGAAGAAAACTGATTCTGCAATATCATTTATAACAACCATCAGGCGGGAATAGTACATCTTGTCAATGGAAAAATAAAATAGCACCAGTGTAATTAATATTCAACCTGAGATTTGACTGACCAGAGAACACATAAAGGATCATGAGATCTCGGCATTGCACATAAAACAAATAGCATCCTTAAAATCAACATTTGCCTGATGAAAGAAAACAAATCCCATCACAGTTCAGTTTTGTGCATTCATCTTCAAGAAGATGAGCATATCTGCTCTCTCTGGATCCAAACGGGCCCTTTCGCAGCGTAGGATATCACCTGCTAAACTGAACACTCTCTCGCTTGGCACGCTGCTTCCCTGAACACAAAGGTACTTGGTTGCCATACGAGACAGCATTGGTTGGAGATTGGATGTGTTGCCACCTTTCCCAGAAATAAACTTCTTGCAGTGGTTACAGACCCCACCATTCAGACTGGCAGTGGTTACAGACCCCACCATTCAGACTGGCAGTCATATGCAGCCACACTTTAGATTTTCAAAAGTGACTTGGTTGCGGAGTTTCACTGCGAAATTGACATCGTAATTCCGACGGTTTGGGCACAAGTTTAAGGATATTATGCCTCACTTTTATAAAAAAAAAAAAAAAAAAAAAAGTATCGAAAACCGGATCTGATTTCGGTACGGTATACCGTAGCCACCAGTAACCGGTATTTCGGTAATACCGGGAACCGGTATGCATCCCTAGTCTCGACGTTTTCATAATAAAACCAATGATCAAATGATTTAACAGTGATATCTGCAGTACTCATCCACTAAAAAACATCATTGTATCCTTGTTAATTGTACGACATTAATTGGTTTAAATTGTGTACAATGCTTTTGTGTTTTTCCCATAGGTTTTTCTCTTTCGATTCTGAGAGACACATTTTTTGATAGGCTAAAATCACGCCGCAATGCACGTTGGGATATGGTGTTTATGCGATATGAAATCGGAAAACATTTAAAAATAATACTTTATGTATTATATATATACTTTTTTTTTAACTGATATATGCTGTTTTTTTTGGTTTTGTGTGTAAAATGTGGAGATGGGAGCAGTTTGTCTAAAGTGTACTTCTCTCTGTTCTGAAGAAAGTTCCGGAAATATTTAACATGGGAATTAATTGGGAGCTAGGTGGACTTTGTGTCTCTTCATGCCCTCAAGAGGCATTTTGTTTAATATTTTTTCTTAATATTTTTTTATTTTCCAACCTAGGAGAGGTTTTCCTATGTTTGAGGAGTGTAGGGTTTGGGAATTATGGCAAGTTTAAAACATTTTTGGGGAAGAATTTCAAGCACTCCTGCACTCTGTTTTGAGATCAAAGCACTCTGGGAATTATGGCAAGTTTAAAACATTTTTGGGGGAGAATTTGAAGAACTGCTGCACTCTGTTTTGAGATCAAAGCACTCTAGACTTAACGAGCTGCTCCATCCACACTAATGTTCAAATCTGAAAAAGGCCTCTCTACCAAGCTCCAAACAAAGTTAAATATCTCAAAAAGTGTAAAAGATATCAAAAATAAAAATCAAGTGTGAATAGCTGAAGGTCTTGTGATCATTTGAATGAGTTGAGTTGGAATGAAGTGTCTAGCTGAAAGTATGTGGAAGGAGTAGCATTTGGCGCAAAGTGTAGGAAAAGAGGATTTGAAGGCATCTCCCATTGACTTCAATGTTAAAAAAAAGAGTTTAAAAAGCTGAATATTTCAAAAAGTATAAAATATTTTTAAAAAGTTGAAGGTTTCCCATCGATTCCTGAACAGGCTGAATAGTTTGATATTTGAATGGTTTCAGTAGCTGAAAGTAAGCTGAAGTTATGGAGAGCCAAAGTATGTTTGAAATAATAATAATAACTAGAAAATGCATTTCCTGCAGAAAATGCGTGCGAATGCTGTAAACTGTGAACATTTGTGGCTGAATTTAGCTGAAAATGCAGAAAAAGCTGAATATGTTATTAGCTGAATGGTAGCTGCTTTTAGCTACAAAAATGCAGAAAAAGCTTAATATTTAAAAGAAAAGGTTTAAAAAAACATGTATAGCCTTGATGTAATGAAATAGCTGAATAATGTAATAGTTGAATGGTTTCTGCAGCTGAAAATAGGCTGAAGGAGTTAAATATCAGATGTAAGTAGTAGTGAATGAATTTGTATTAAGAAGAGAAAAGAAAGTAAAAAGGCTGGGGAAAGCAGCAGAATATTTTGACTGCAAACTTTTCGACTAAAACCATACGTCACCAATAATATATAAAATATGTGGAACCTGTTGAAGTCAATATGAAGTCTCCATCAGACAGAAAAGAATAGGCTGAGACAGTCTGTTAAAGTCCAGTCTGTCAGTGTTTGTTTCTGTTCCTGAGCACCTACTCATAACACCCAATCATAACACCTGTGTGTGTGTCCAGAGATCAAAGGTTTCCATGGTGTCTGTTCTGATTAGATGATGTCACTCAGGTGTGTGTGTCGCTCCAATCTGCCCAGCAACACCATGACAACCAACTGCAGCACTGAGTCCCATAAGAATGCATTGAGAAGTATATCTAACCATTTTGCCACCTGTTCAAAAACTATGGCTCCTATAAAAAAATTACCAGACCTTGAGCATCAGGGAACCCCAATGAACTGATATATGTTTTTTTTTGGGTTTTGTGTGTCAAATGTGAAGATGGGAGCAGTTTGTCTAAAGTGTACTTCTCTCTGTTCTGAAGAAAGTTCCGGTCAAATTTAACATGGGAGTCTATTGGGAGCTAGGTGGAATTTTTGTCACTCTGATCACTATTGGGCCAGAACGGTGTGTCCGTTTGATATGTTGAAGGCAATTGAGCAGGCCAGACTAATAATGCTCCTGAAATCTTTTGAAATTATTTGAATAGATTGTATATTTTGGCTCTGAGAGCAGTTTTAAAATATTTTTTCTGAAGATTTTTAAGACCCTCTACACTCTAATGGCGCGTTTCCACTACAGCGCGGAGCACGGTTTAAGAGGGCTGTGACGTCAGCGGCCCGTTTTTGGTTGCGTTTCCACTTGGCCTAGTACCGGCCGGCGGGTCCTAATTCACAGAGTCGGGCTGAGTATGCTAAACTAGAGAGAGAATCGCTGGCAAGGGGGCTACAACTACAACAAGATGGACATATTTGACCGTGATTTAATTGTAATACACGTTTCAAAATGATGCCGAAGTAACAACATACTGATACCGGTTAGTAAAAACCATGAATCAATGCTTTGACAAGTCTGCAGACAGACGGCAGGCGAAAAACCTTTTAAAATGCGTGTTTTCTAAATGGAGATTGGCTAAGCTAACGCAGTATATGCTCTGACCGTCCACACTCGCAACAACGGCCTATACAGACATAAATAAAGCAGCGACTGTATTCGCCATGACACAGGCAGTCTGTGGTTTGTACTTGTTTAACTTTTGTCTAGTTACTGAACATATATGAGGAGCTGTGAGCTCTGAGTGCTAACAGCTAACGGCTGTGTTGTTTTTCTGGGGTTCTCATTGAAGATGACGTCACGGCTCCGCCTACACTGCGTTACTATAGATACTACCCCAGTTCCTAAACTGTAATGGAAATGCGCCATAAAGTGAGCCAGTCCTAACGAGGCCTAGCCATACCGAGCGAGGCCGAGCGAGGCCGTGTAGTGGAAATGCGCCATAAGTGATGATGTCACGCACTCTAAAATCTAAAACAGCCTGTACATTTACCAAAACTTAAACGTTGATAAGTCAAAAACCGTAAAAGATATCAAAGATAAAAGTCAAGTTTGAATAGCTGAAGGTGTTGTGATCATTTGAAAGTTGGAATGAAGTGTCTAGCTGAAAGTATGTGGAAGGAGTAGCATTTGGCGCAAGGTGTAGGAAAAGAGGATTTGAAGGCATCTCCCATTGACTTCCATGTTAAAAAAAGAGTTTAAAAAGCTGAATATTTCAAAAAGTATAAAATATTTTTAAAAAGTTGAAGGTTTCCCATTGATTCCTGAACATGCTGAATAGTTTGATATTTGAATGGTTTCTGTAGCTGAAAGTAAGCTGAAGTTATGGAGAGCCAAAGTATTGGTGAAATAAGGGGAAGAATAAAGAATTGAAGTACTATAGTGGAATGCTGTGGCACAGCATTCGCACTAATAAAGAATTGAAGTACTATAGTGGAATGCTGTGGCACAGCATTCGCACTAATAAAGAATTGAAGTACTATAGTGGAATGCTGTGGCACAGCATTCGCACTAATAAAGATTCGAAGAACTATAGTGGAATGCTGTAAACAGCATTCGCACTAATAATAATTTTAAGGGGAAGAATAAAGAATTTAAGTACTATAGTGGAATGCTGTGGCACAGCATTCACACTAATAAAGATTTGAAGTACTATAGTGGAATGCTGTAAACAGCATTCGCACTAATAAATGTTGTAAGGGTCTCACTAGCACTGAGCTAGCTATCCATCCAGTTAAACCGTTTGAAAGAAAACTCCAGCACAGTTGTCAGTTTTACTGAAGTCTCTTTACTTGGTGAAACTGTAAAGACAATACAGACATAACAGTTTATTATTGACTGCCCGACTGATGAGCTAAATAGACAGAATACTTCACACAATGAGCTACGGTGCACAAACTGAGAAGCTAATCAGCCTAGCTGCTAGTAGCTTAGCCGCAAAGAATACTCACTGCATTTCTACAAACATAAACATTTTACATACAACATATTCCCATGAAGCCACAGTCTGTCGGACAATAACACTCACAGACGATGCGTGAACCAGCGGGAAATACGAAGCACAGCCCATGGAGACCAGACGTCCGTTCATGAAACAACCCAAGCTACACGTGGAGCAACAGGAATCGAATAAACCACTAGAAAGCAGCAGTGTCAAACAACCACCACAAGGTGGTGCCAAAACACAGCCAAGAAAACACATATACGACAGATATACACCAAAAACACACATCAAGGACAGAACACTCCCCGCCTGGGGTTTTTAAACCCCAGATCAATCAACAAGAATCAGTCTTTGGAGACAGAAGCAGGACCACTTCTGTAACAGGACGAGAAAAGATCCTTTTGGTCTTGTCCTTGGAGATCTCTACCTCGATCTTACGAACCAGTCCATCCCTTCCTGGGAATGTCTTTGTGATGGTGGCCATAGGCCATTCGTTTCTCTGAGCCTGATTGTCTTTCAGGAGAACAATGTCCCCCTCTTGAAGGTTTGACCTCTTAGACCGCCACTTGTGACGAGTCTTGAGATATTCTTTTCTCCACCTACTCCAAAAGGTGTCCGCCAGGCTCTGAACTTGCTTCCACTGCTCTTTAAAGAGGTCTGCCTCTTCAAAGTTACCTGGAGGAGGTGGTGTAGAGCCTGTTTTGAGGGTCAAGAGCATTGCTGGGGTGAGGATGAGAGGTGACTCTGGATCTGAAGATACTGGAATGAGAGGTCTAGCATTGATGACTGCTGTCACCTCAGCCATGAGCGTAAGCAGAACTTCATGCGTCAAAGAAGACTTCTTCTGTTCAAGCAGCAGATAGTCAAGAATGCGACGAGCGATGCCAATCATCCGTTCCCATGCCCCACCCATGTGGGACGCATGTGGCGGGTTGAACACCCATGTGCAGTTCTGCGTGCTCAGGTACTTCTCCACGTTGTTGCCACTGGGATCTGTAGTCTTCATTTGCAACTCTCGAGAAGCGCCAACGAAGTTAGTGCCGCAGTCAGACCGTATTTGTTTTGCTGTGAACTCTAGAAAGTGGGCTTTCATCTGTGGCCGTTTTTCCAGCGTGCGTCTCAATGAGGCAAGACGATCTTGTGCTTGTTTCCTATTGTTAGGCAGCCTCTGTCTTGGTAACCGGAAAGGTAGTGGTCCCACCCAGCTCTTCGAGCTGTCTTGATGAAACTCTGCTTCCATGATCTTAAGAAACTTCATATCTTCTACGGATGGTGCTAGTTTGTGGTCGTTGGCAGTTCGCGTGAAGATGGTTTGACCCAGACTGTCTGCATCATGTGTTGCTGTGCTGAACTTAGAGGTCAGTGCTGGATGATGTGTGTAGTCAGGGGCTTGATTGAAGATTTCTCTTATCTTGATTTGGTTGTTGCATGGCTGCAGATGGCTAGTACGACCATTCTCCAAGATAGACGTCTTGTAACTGTTCACCTCTAGTGGTTTGTGAGCACCTGCTAGACACACGTCACCAACGACAACCCATCCCAGGTCCAGCCTTTGGGCGAACGGTGCGTTGTCTGGACCACTTATCTGCTCACGAACCTTGTGGACCCTGAGAATGTCTCTGCCCAGCAAGAAGAGTATGTCAGCGTTAGGATCGAGAGGTGGTATTTCGTCGGCGATGCACTTCAGGTGAGCATGGTGATGAGCTGCATTTGGCGTAGGGACTTCGGAGCGGTTGTTGGGAACTTGGTTGCACTCTAAAAGTGTAGGCAAAGGAAAGCTTAACTTTTTGTCTGCTGATTCCACTGTGAACCCACTAGCTCTTCTCCCTGTTGTCTGAGTTAGTCCAGCGCATGTTTTCAGTGTGTAAGGGAAGGAAGGCCCTGTGATTTTGAAAACATTGAAGAACTCAGAGCGTGCCAAGGAATGATTACTCTGCTCGTCCAGTATTGCATACATTTTCTTGGCCTCTTCCGAGCGACCAGCTGGATACACACTTACAAGGCATATTTTTGAGCATGCTCGTGCGCTAACACCTTCACCACACACTTGTGTGCACCTTGATGTGACCTGATGGTCTTCTTTGTCTTCCTCCCCGCCGTGCTCTGAAGAGGGAGGAGAGGGCTTAGGTTTCCAGACTGCTGGTCCTGGGTGTAGTGCTGACACGTGACCCGTGCTCCCACATTCTATACATCTCACCTCAGCCGTGCAGTTTCTAGCGAGATGACCAGTAGAGGAGCAGCACCGGAAGCAGAAGGAATGTTCCTTTAAGAGCTGTTTGCGTTCCTCTAGACTCTTTTCTCTAAAGCTTCTGCATTTCTTCAGAGGGTGTGGTTTCTTATGTAGAGGACAATGGTTGTTTGGGTCTGTTAGCTTCTTATCCTCTCTGCTTTCATATCTGTCAGCAGACGACACTTGTGTCTTGTGAACAGATACAGGCATCTTCGTGAATTTCTCCCACGTACTCTTTTTCTCCATAGGAACTGTCGTGGAGAGGTTGAAGCTGGGATCATTACGAGCTTTTGCCTCTGTACGAACAAAGTCTGCAAAGACAGAGAAAGGTGGGAAACTGACATGATGATCACGTTTGTATCTTGAACCATAAGATATCCACTTTTCTTGGATGTTGTATGGGAGTTTTTCGATGATGGGCTTAACCCCTCTGGAAGTATCCAAATATGACAGACCTGGGAGGGAGCCATCTCTCTTAGCAGCCTCAAGCTCTAACAGCAGGTCTGCTAACTCTCTGAGTCGTTTTGGGTCTTTGTTGGTCAGTATGGTGAAGCTTTCCAGCTTGTCAAAGAGAGCCTGTTCAATAACCTCAGGTGAGCCGTATATTTCCTCAAGCCTCTCCCAGGCCATCATTAGTCCAGCGTCAGGGTGTCTGATGTTGACGGCCTTGATTCTCCTCACCTGATCTGATGACTCTTTTCCCAGATATTTGCAGAGCAGGTCGAGTTCTTCTCCAACAGACAGATCCAGACCAGCAATAGCACTTAGGAAGGACGTTTTCCAAGCCCAATAATTCATTGGTTGATCGTCGAATGTTGTGAGGCCTGATGTCACTAAGTTACTGCGGGCAAGATATTTAGCCAGATCGTTAGTTGTTTGAGGGTTGTGGTAACTGGCTTCATAGGGCGTACCTTGGTTAGGCTGATAAGCAGAGAATGGAGACTGCTTATTGAGAGTCCACGGCGGTGCTGGTGTACCAGGTCGAGGAGCCTTTAATGTGTGGTGAGGCGTAGTTTGGGTAGAAACAGCAGCTTGTGTTTGAGCAAGGCCTTTAAGTGAGTAGGACTGTGTAGGCTTAACATCCTCTCCTTTACTATGTTGTGATGGTTCATTTAGGTGTGGGCCTATGGGGGCAACAATGTCACTAATTTTGCTAGGCGATCCACCTATTCTGCTGGTTTGGTCTTTCACATAAGCAGCGGTGCGCTGGTACATAAAGTGTTGAGACACTGGATTAGAGCCTCTGCTGGCCTCTTCAACATCAAGCTCTAGTAAACCAGCCTGCAACATTTTTACTTCAGCTATGGCAGCATCTTTCTCCTTTTCTTCCTTTAATGCATCAAGAGTAGCTTGAATGCGTGCTTGCTCGACTTTTAGCTCAATTTCCCACTTAGAGTGTGATGTTCTAGCCTGTGCTGCTTCAGCCCTTGCCATAGCCATAGCCAGTGCTAAATTAGCCTTTGAGCTGGATGATGAGCGTGACGCACGTGTGTGCACAGAGTGTGCGTTTACACTTATTTTATCCATGTTGTCATTTTCTTCCATAATGGTTGGGTTGTGAATTCAATAACGTGGATGAAGAGATAAGCTGGCGTGAAGGCTGTACATATGCACTGAGTTAGCCACTTAGCTCTTGGTGTCGCTCCGTAGGAAGCCTGTCTCCGTCCCCGGAGCTGGCTGTAATGCCGTCTTTTCACTGTAAGGGTCTCACTAGCACTGAGCTAGCTATCCATCCAGTTAAACCGTTTGAAAGAAAACTCCAGCACAGTTGTCAGTTTTACTGAAGTCTCTTTACTTGGTGAAACTGTAAAGACAATACAGACATAACAGTTTATTATTGACTGCCCGACTGATGAGCTAAATAGACAGAATACTTCACACAATGAGCTACGGTGCACAAACTGAGAAGCTAATCAGCCTAGCTGCTAGTAGCTTAGCCGCAAAGAATACTCACTGCATTTCTACAAACATAAACATTTTACATACAACATATTCCCATGAAGCCACAGTCTGTCGGACAATAACACTCACAGACGATGCGTGAACCAGCGGGAAATACGAAGCACAGCCCATGGAGACCAGACGTCCGTTCATGAAACAACCCAAGCTACACGTGGAGCAACAGGAATCGAATAAACCACTAGAAAGCAGCAGTGTCAAACAACCACCACAAGGTGGTGCCAAAACACAGCCAAGAAAACACATATACGAGAGATATACACCAAAAACACACATCAAGGACAGAACAAATGTAGTGGAGTAAAAATACCAGGTTAACCTCTGAATTGTAGTGGAGTAGAACAAAGTAGTACATGCTGCTGTAACAAAAACATTTCCCAACTTGGGATCAATAAAGTATATCTTATCTTATCTTATCTTAAGATGATCGATGGCTACTGCCATATTTGCAAAATGTGCCTCTGAATCTTGACAAGTGCATGTTTCAGGCTTATCAATGAACAACAGGAGGGGTCACAGACATAAGACCAGCTGTTAAATAAAGCTCTTCTGACCTTAGCTGTCATGTGGGTATATTACAACACAGTCTCACTCCCTGAACGTCCAGGAGCTTGGTCAGGGTCCTATGGCGTCCAGTTGTGACGCGCCGAGGCTCCTTCAGCTTCATAAACGGACGCAAAGAGCTTTCAACTGATTGCAATGTATTCCCATCGGCGGCGGTATTTGACGCTCAGGGAAGCACCGCATCGGTCCATGTCGGCGGCATTTAAAGGCAATGTGAGCGTCCATTCCCATTGGATAACGGAGGATTTTACACCCGGAAGTAAGTATTCTCTTTACTGTCGATTGATTTTACAGTGATATCTGCACTACTCATCAACTCAAAAACACCAGATTATCCTTGTTAATTACACAACATTGATTGGTTTAAATTGTGTTCAATGCTTTTGTATTTTTCCCCTTCGATTCGGAGAAACAAATATTTTTTCGGAGTTTAGGATGGCAGAAGACACTACACTACCCAGAATCCTCAGCTATCGTTTGGGACTACACCATGTGCTTTGCTTCACAAACCCTGTGATTAGTCGTCGTGAATAAACGTCCCTCTGGAGCGTTTAAAATCAAGCATGTTGTTTCTTACACGACCACTAGAGCACCTCTAGTGGTCGTGTAAGAAACAACATACACTTTAAAACGTGTCTCTGGGTCGTAATAAGGGCTTGAACAATCTGCCTATATGGTCGTTTTTTGTAGGACAGGCTGCAACATTGTTAGGAGATTTAAACTATACAGCGATTCTGCACTGCGGTCAACTCAGCCGTTCTCTCGAGTTTGTTTTTTCAAATCAGCTGCTCTTCATTTTTTCCCCTGCTATATTCAATGAGTGATACAAATATTTTTGACCACAAGTTCTTAATAAAACTGACACTGTTGGACTCGGTACTAGTTTGACTGCTACCAGAAATTAAATTAAGTACTTTTACTGTGTACTTTGTGACTAATCCTCTGTCAGAGTCCCCTCCATAGTACATAATGCATGTTTTTTGCTGTCTTTGATGAGTGATAAAAATAAAATGTTACCATTAGTTCTTAATGAAATTGATACTATTTGACTTTGTATTAGTTAGCCTACTACTAACAATACATTGAAGTACTTTTACTGTGTATTCATTGAGAAATACTCTGTCAAAGTATCCTGCTGAGAACAAAATCAAGCCACTTCTGCTAAGTTTGATGAGGGAATTATTTTTTGTTGCCATTAGTTCTTCGTGAGATTGATCCTGTTGGACTCAGTACTAGTGAAACTACCCCCACAAGTACTATGAAGTACTTACTGTGTACTTTTCCAGTAATCCTCTGTCAATGTCCCCTCCTGAGTACAAGAATGCATGTTTTTCTTTTAATAAGCGTTAAAAAACCTTTCTTCCTGAGACTGATATTGTTGGACAGAGTATTTTAAGAGGATGGTAGACATGATATCAGCACTACTTCCAGTCAGTACTCCAGCAGCAGCATTTTTACACCTTGAAAAGTCTTTAGAGTCTGGCCTGGATAGCTGGTCCCAACTATCCTTCAGCAAAGTGACACACTCTGTCACATGGTTGCCCTCTTATGATGCTGCTGTCTTTTAATATATAATTATTCCTCTGCCACTAGTTTGTTCGTTAGTCAAAATGACCCCCAAGGATCAAAGGTGTAAAGTAAACTTGAGGATAACAGGAAGACAAAAGTGAAGTCTTTGTTCTTTAATGTGAAAGTGAAGCGTCTCTGGCTGTCCGTCACTTTGGATATGAGTTCAGTTTAGTTGTTTGTTACCTTCTTATTCTCCAAGTCCTCTAAAGGTTTAGTAAATCAAAGCAGCATTTACTCCTCATTGTGGCTCCGCTGTTAGTCTGATTCTGGCCCAGTATAATCATTTAGTGGGAATGCTGATACAGCATTCCAACTATATGTTATTCTACGGACAAAATTATTATTATTCCGCCGGAATTTTGCACCTCTTCTCCTCCTGCATTCAACATCGCAGAAACTCCGTTCAAATATCAAAACGTTCAGCTCGGTCGGGAATCGATGACTATCATTTGGATTATTCATAACTTTCATAATTCCAGAGATACATCCCATAATTCATCAAATTTGTAACCATTGAAGTCAATGGAGAAAATCTTCAGACTTGAACAATCTTCATGCGACTTCAACTGCTAACTGTTCCTTCATACTTTCACTCAGAAACCTCATTCCAACTTTAAAATGTTACACATCTTTCTGACATTATTCGTGTAACACAACTTTTAAATCTGATTCTTACTTCTAGAGATATTAAACATTGTTCAGACCTTGGTAAAGAGGCTTTCTTCAGATTTTAACATTAACTAGAGTACGTGATGTCACAGCTAGAGGGTAGGAAATCTTGAAATTTGCCTTCATATTTTTTTTTAAACTGCCATAATTCCCAAACTCAAGTATTGTGCAATATTGTGGTACTTTACTTGAATTTCCATGATATGCTACTTTATACTTCAACTCCACTACAATTTAGAAACCAGTATTGTACTTTTTACTTCACTACAATTATTTGACAAAAGTAGGTACTACTGTAGTTACAAATTCAGATTATTAGCTAAAAGAAAATATGACTAAACAATGATGTATAATTATAGGTTGAGATACCCAGTAGAAATTGCTCCACCTCTAACAGCTGATGAACTCTGGTACGTGCCAGGCGGGCTTTGCTGGTTGTGTTGTGTTTCCCTCCTCCTGCTCTTTTCTCTTCTCCCCCTTTTTCTCACTGCAGGTAATCAGCTGATCACTTGATGCTGATTGGATCCCCTCACCCTCAGCCGGCCTATCAGCAGCCAGGGCCTGTCATTAAATGAGGCAATCCAGGAAGCCTTCGCTCTCCTGCTGAGTAGTTTTCAGAGCGGATTTCGTAAAGGGCGGTCCACAATAGATGCGTTAGTAAGAGTGAGTAATGATGTGGAAAAAACACTGAAAAGGAAAGAGATAAGGGCAATAGTGTACTTTGACATTGAAAAGGCGTATGACTCTATGTGGAGGGATGGATTACTGATCAAATTGAGTAGAATGGGTATTGGAGGGAGAATGTACAATTGGGTAAGGGCCTTTTTAACAGACAGGACATTTAGAGTAAAGGTTGGAGCAGATATTTCCAATTATTTTGAAATAGAAAATGGTATTCCCCAAGGGAGTGCAGTCAGTCCAATATTATTTAACATTATGATTAAAGGTAGGGTAGGTAAGTTTGAGAAACCGGCTCGAGATCGCTAGAATTTGAAAATACACAACCGGAGAAAATCTGCCACTTCCTTATAGAGCCCCTCCTCCAACACACACGAACGCGCACATGACCAATGAGGGCACGAGATAAGTTTGTGCACAGATTGAAGGCTGACAGGCAGGTAGGCCATCCAGTTATTTTAGCCCGGCCGGCTAAAATTATTGGTCGTGCTTTTTACAGTATTACAGCTTCCACAGATGAAATCTTTTTATGAATTTTTTGTCAAAGCACTTAAGATATTCATTGCTATCGGGATGTTAAGTGCATTCCATGGAATATAACAAAAAGTATATCTCGAGCCGGTTTCTCAAACTTACCTATCCTACCTTTAATGACATATTTACATGCTTAGACCCATGCATCCAATCGGCTCTATACGCAGATGATGGGGCTATTTCGATGAGGGGAAGACATGGCCCATACGTAATGGAGAATATTGGGAGAGCGATTAAAAAAGTGGAGAGGTTGTCATATAATTGGGGATTCAAAATGTCAGAAAGCAAGTCATGCTACATGATATTTACAAATAAAC